CCGGGAATGCCACTGCATCAATTGAAAATGTGGATTGATAGCAATGTTTTCGTGTTCCATGTAAGTAATTGCCTCAAATGAAAGAGAGTGTTTGACTTGTAAATAGCAATGTTTCAGGTGACTGTATGTAATTGTCTGAAATGAAAAATATATGATGGGGTTCTACCATTATCTTTGATGTTTGTGTGAAAATTTGAAAAATGAATGAAAGAGGGTGCTAATTTTGGTTGTAGGTTGCGAGGAGGTGGTGGTGTGTTGTTGGAGAAGTTGATGTGGAGGTGGTGGAGTGGCGTGGTGTGCTATTGATGTTGGTGGTTGGTGGTGTTGGGTTGGTTAATGTGTGGTTTGAAGAAGGTGGTGTGTTGTGGTGTTGGTTATGAGGTGGTGCGATGGTGGTTAGTGTGTGGAGGTGGTGGTGTCTATGTGGAGGTGGTGGTGTATGAAAGTGGTAGAGTGGTGGATGTGTTGGTGTCTTGATGTGCTGGTGCGTGGAGGTGTTGGTGTGGAGGCGGTGGTGTCTGGTGGAGGTATTGGTGTCCGTGTGGTGTTTGGTGGTGTTTGGAGGTAGCAGTATCTATGTGGAGGTGTTGGCTTGTGGTTGTGGAGGTGGTGGTTAGTGTGTGGTTGTGCATGTGTGGAGGTGGTGGTGGTGGTGGTGTTAGTGTGATAGAGGTGGTGGTGTCTTGATGTGTTGATGTGTGAAGGTGTTGGTGTCTGTGTGGTGTCTGGTGGTGTTTATGTGGTGGTGTGTTGAGGTGGTTGTGTCGGTGTGGAGGTGTTGGGTGTGTGGAGGTGGTGGTGGTAGTGCGGTGAATGTGTTGGTGTCTTGATGTGTCGGTGTGTGAGGTGTTGGAGTAGATTTTTACTTTTAAAGTATAAAATGTATTGATATAAAAATTTATATTACAAACAATATTACTATACAGGGGCAGAATGGTCGTTTTTCCAAAAAAGAAAGCACATCTCTTTTCAAACTGCAAAAAACAAATTGTCAATCAGCTTATCCATAGCAACTTCTAAGCAATAATTTTTTGTGGCATCTGTTGTGCTAGAGCTTATTATTAAGCTGCAATTCCCCCAAACATACCCTAAATTTATAATCAGTATGAATATCTCACCGATACAAACTTAGCTGCATCAAAAGTGGTTTGATCTGAACCCAAATACGTCCAAATTAAGCATTTGCAATTTTATTAAAAATTTTCATAGAACATATTATAATATATATACAATATTATATATAAAAATTTATCGATTAAAAGAAAATCATCTTTTAGTTTCAAATGATTTCTTAAAAATTTAACACATATATTGTTAGCTAAAGTATTATCATGAGTGAAACTAAAATTTGTACCATCAACTCCACGTTTAATTAACAAAGTGTATATCACTTCAAATAATGCAATACCATTTTATAAGGGCGACATAAAACCAAAGTTTAAGATTTTTTGCCCCTTCTCTGTGATAAACATATTTCACAATCATTTTTAGCAATATTTTAAGATACAAGATGCAAATTTCAATACAAATGAAGTACTTTAAAACTAGATCATGCAACACATTGAAAAAGATAAATCTTGCACAATATTGCAAGTTATAAGGAAATCACAAAACACTTGGTGGTCAAGCTTAGTCTCATACATAGACATAAATAAACTACAATAACTTTATATATGTATTATGTTTCCAGATATAATGTGTCTCTCTTCTTGCAATTTTATAAGTAATAATTCAAATTATATGTGCCAAACTTAATTTCGCATATGTAAATTGAGCCACATTTCTTACTTATATATATATATATATTCATATCATTTCGAAGACGCAATAGCTTAAAATATTCTCATGTAGATGAAGTAAATCTTTTCTTCTTTATGATATTTCTATCACTTACCTCCTTATCCATTTCTGTAGATTCATTGTCCTAAGCATTCACATCAGTATCATTCATTCTCTTTGGCATTAACAGTATTACTAAAGTATTAGAATTATTTATCCAAATTAAGAAACTCACAATTATTAACTAGCAAATGTTACAAATGTTAAATGAATAAATAAAATTAATCAGTAGAGTCATACTAAATGATTAACCTAGTAGATTCACAATGAATAATAATACAAATATTAAAAAATTTTATCAGGTGCATTTCAATCTTTTTGTAGTTGAAATGCTATTAAATTGCAACAATTTAAGATATTGGTGAACTGATAAATGACATCTTTCGATAATGAAACAAGGCAATATTTTTGAAAAAAAAAATACCTGCAACTATGTATCACACTCATAACATACCTTGCAACTACTATCGGGCATCCAAAAATCCTTCGATACATATGCAGGCTCAGAGAGCTGAGGAAACAACGATTTCACTCTCTCTAACAAATTAGAGAACATGTTCTCTTTGGTTTCCATTGATCATCAAGCCCTTATCCTGCTTATTCTATTGAAGTCATTTCAAATGTATCTAATTATAAACACTTCTTTTTATCGGACCTCATCTCTATAAGGTGATGATGATCAATGAAACACAAATCCCTTATGCCGTGATGTTCAATAAATAGCGGTATTTCTGTTCAAAATCTATAAAAAATGCACCAAACGGTCTATACTAGGGTTCAATTGGAACTACAACTGTACTGAAAAAAAAAATCAAGATTCAAAAATAAAAATAACCATTATTGTTCCGAGATAAATTGCATTACCTTCAAAATGTGTATTAAACCTCGAAGATGAAAACCATCAGGGAACAGTGTTTCTAAATAAATATAGAAAACAACAATGCTTTAGATTTGTTTTTCTTAAGGAAAACAGAAAAATCATGTGAAAAAAAGGATGGGAAGGGAAGATATACGTGGGGATAGTAAGGAGCCCACGTATAATATATGATGACTAGTAGTTATCTTATTCATTGGTTGTGGCCCGAGTTTTATAGTAATCATAGATAAGGAGAAAGCGTGGGAATGTAGTCAATGGGACATTCCACTTGAAAACATGGACAAATGTGCGTAACTAATTTCGATGATCATTAATTTATTTGGGGTATCTATAACTTATTAAAAAATTGCAAGTTGTTGTTATCGATTTGTTTTGTACATTTATGCAATAATAATTTATTATAAAAGGATAATTATAATTATACCCCTGTATTATTGTGTTGTTATATATAAAGTATTATCATGAGTGAAATTAAAATTTGTACCATCAACTCCAACTTCAACTAACAAAGTTTATATCACTTCAAATAATGCAATATCGTTTTATAAAGGTGACATAAAACCAAAGCTAAAGATTTTTGGCCCCTTCTCTATGATAAACATATTTTTCATTCATTTTTAGCAATATTTTAAGATACAAGATGCAAATCTCAATACGAATGAAGTACTTTAAAACTAGGCCATGCAACACATAGAAAAAGAAAAATCATGCACAACAATGCAAGTTATAAGTAAATCATAGAACACTTGGCGGTCAAACTTAGTCTCATACATAGACATAAATGAACTAAAATAACTTTATTTATAAAGTATGTTTCCATATATCATATGTATCTCCCCTCTTGCAGTTTTATAAGTTATAATTCATATTATCAGTGTCAAACTTAATTTCACATATGTAAATTGAGCAACATTTCTTACTTTTATATATTTTTTTCATATCATTTCTAAGAGGCAATAGCTCAAAATATTCTCATGTAGATGAAGTAAATCTTTTCTTCTTTATGATATTTCTATCACTTACCTCCTCATCCATTTCTGTAGATTCATTGCTCTAAAAGTTCAAATCAATATCGTTCATTCTCATTGGTGTTAACAGTATTACTAAAATATTAGAATTATTTGTCCAAATTAAGAAACTCACAATTATTAACTAGTAAATGATACAAATAATAAATGAATAAATAAAATTAATCAGTAGAGTCACACAGAATGATTAACCTAGTAGATTCACAATGAATAATAATACAAATATTAAATGAATTTTTCAGGTGCATCTCAACCTTTTTGTAGTTGAAATGCTATTAAATTGCTACAATTTAAGATATTGGTGAACAAATAAATAACAACTTTTGATAATGAAACAAGATAATATTTTT